TACCCAAAGCACTGCTTTCCTGCTTATAACTTCATGTGATATACAAGGGCATACCCAGAAAAAAAATGAAATCTTTTTTTCTAAAGCTATTTATTTAATTTTTTTTTAACAAAACAACCTTATCATATTCAAATTACTCTCCATTATACTTAATGCATTTGCCAAATCTATGATTCCATTCATGGTAACATTTTTCAAACTCATCTGTTTGGATGGCTTACAGAACCTCCCTTGTTTTTTTCTTCACATCTTCACTCACTGTCCTTTCATGTCCCTCTTCATTTGTGGAAACAAAAAGAAGTCATACAGAGTGAGGTCATGTGAGTAAGGTGCATGGGGCAAGAGAGACGTGGTGTTTTTGTCCAAAACTGAAATGGCTGTGTGACCAGGTACCTTGTCATGGTGGCAAAACTAGACCCCATCTGCCACAGATCAAGCCATTTTTGTTGTACACTGTTACACCATATTCTCAGAACCTCTAAAATAGAAAGCTTAACAGTCTGACCTGGTAGAACAATCTCCAAATGCTCTACGGAGTTGACATCTTCACCCCATTCAGGAAGTTGATGGACGTCCAGAGCAAGGTTTGTCATCAACTGACATTTCACCTTTTTTGAAATGAGAAAACCACTTGTACACTTGACTTTTTCCCATAGTACTGTCCTTGTAAGCTATGTTCAACGTCACAACAGTTTCTGTGGGTGGCATTTTTCCCAAGCAGGAAACAAAATTTCACAGCTGCTTGCTGTTATCTTAAGTTGTCCATCACCAAAATAAAAGAGGTTTGAGTGAAACTACTTTCATGAAAAATTCACTGTGACGAGAGAGAACCTTCCCAGGCAACACCACTGACTGCACTAACTCAGAGCAAGTTGCTGGGTTCCCTACCAGCAGGAAAATGTGTACTCTCCAAGCTCTGCCTGTTAGGCAGAAATGGGGGTTGGTGGGGGAAAGCAAGTGGAAAAACACCTTGGGCAAGTGAAAAACACTCCAAGGACAACATTGCAAAAAATCAAGCCTCCCCCTCCTCTTTGGTTATCTTCCAAACCCAGATGCAGTAGGCTAACCATTGCAGATAACATTGAACATTGTTGCTTAGTCCCAGCTTTGCAGACAGCCAAATAGCAATGGAAAATGCCCCAGCTACTCCCTCCCCAAGACCTGGGCTATAAAACTCTTCACCTCTCACACGGACAGTGTGACTTCACAGGCCACCAACTAGGGACCCATGAACCTCGCCTAGGAGCTCTGAAATAAATCTTTAAAACTATTTTCTGCCTTTGCCCATTTTCTTTCTTTCCTTTACCAAAAATACTTTACAATGCCCAGTGGAGCTTTCTTACATTTTGGGGGGGAATACCCCCTCATATATATTACTTATTAAATATTTGATTAATCTCCATTGACAGAGAAGTAAAGGGCAATCTAATGGGGATAATTTCTTTCTTGATAAAATAGTAAAGATAACAAATAAAACCTGCCAATCTGTAGGAGAGTGCCAGAAACCAGTCATGAGAATTTCGAATTACTTACACAGAATTAATTAGATACAGCAGAAAGGCTGTATGTTGCATTAGAGCTCTGACCGATTCCACGCAAGGACACACATGTACTATACTATGTGTAGCTCACTGCCGTGGGGCCAGTGCTCACTCATAGTGATCCCGGTGGCTTCTGAGGATTTGCTTATGGGAGTAGAAAGCCCAGTCTATCTCCCACTGAATTGCTGATGATTTTGAACTGCCAACCATGCGGATCTGGATCTCAGCTCAGCACATAACCACTACACACCAGGGTAGAATACTAAAAATTTTAAAAATGCATCAAAGCTAAGATTGATGCAAGATGATATATTATGATTTTGAGAGGGAGGAGAATGCAAATATTAGAGGAAGAAAACTTTATGTTAGTGATTCTCAATCACTTGAGGTGATTTTAAAATAAGCATCCCTAAGAACATCCTCCTACCTCTAAGACATCGTTGGGGTGCAGTGTTGTTGTTAGGTACCATTGAGAGGATTCCAACTCACAGGGATCTATGAACAACAGAAAAAACCTTTGAACAGCCCTGAACAATCTAGAGTTGCATGGGAACTGCCTATTCAACAAGCATTCTCAGGTGCTGTTGATATACATGATAAACTGTACTTGTAAATTGTTGATTTATTCTAATTTCCAAATGTTACAAATCAGCATGAAGCTCATAAAGGAAAGTTGTTCTTGTGTCCTGTTGAGTTGATCAACTCGTAGAGACCTGTGTGCAATAGATGGGAATACTGCACTGTCCTGCACCACCCCCACAAGTATCGTGTTTGAGACCAGTGTCTAACTACTAGGTGAGTCCATCTCCTTGACACTCTTCCTGTCTTTTATTGACTCTTCTTCACAACGAATCATATGCTTCTCTCATGACTACCCCCTTCTGAAACAGGCTAGCTATGTGTCTTATAAGAGAGTTTTGTTCATACTTCTGGCAGGCTTTAGTATATTGAAGTCTTTGCTAATACCATAATTGAATGTTACTAGTTTTTTGCATATTTTTATTCATATGAACTATTGAAAATACTTGAGTAAGGACAACTTAGCTCTCAATACGACATCTTTGCTTTTTAATACTTGATGTAGGTATTCTGCAACAGATTTGCCCAATGAAATAGGCTATTTGATTTCTTTGGCTGTTATTTTCATGTGTGTTGAGTGTTAATCAAATAAAATGAAACTGTTGACGATGTCAATTATTTTCTCTAATTATCATGATGTTCTTTACTTGACCACTTATGTTTTTTTTTCATATTGAGAAGTAATTCATATTGAATAATATAATCATTGTTCTTCATTAGTAAATGCTTCAGAAAATAATGTTTCCTATCTGCGTATTGCAGATTGTTAATGAGTTTTCCTTCAATTCTGCTTCCCCAATTTCTCTCATATTTTCCAAGTTTTCAGAGATTTATTAACCATACACTGTGGATAAGTATGGTGAAATTGTATATTCCTAATGGATACCTTTATTGATTAAAAACCATGCATTATCTACTTGCTCTGCTTGAAGAACTATCTCTTGAACTTGGTACAGGTTCCATGTGAACACACTTGGGCATTCTGGAATTTCCCGCATTTTACAATGTTATACATAATTTATTATGATGCGCACGCTGAACCCTACAGCACAAACACATATTCTCTACTTTCAGTCAGGATCCTTCTTTTTAAAATATCATTAGTTCTTGAACTCCTAAAACGGTGGAGACTCAATCTTTTTGGTTCAGTGAATGTTTATCCATTCCATTTGTTTTAATGCTTCCTATACTTTTCAATATTTTGCCACAAACTTCAGTATTGCAATTTGAAGTTTGGCAGTTTTCTTCATTTCTTTCCACTGGAGAAATGTTGAACATATTCTTCCATTTAAATTTTCTAATTTCATGTCTGCGCATTTCATTCTAAGACTTACTTTGTCTTTTCACTGTCTTTTGAAATCATCTCTTTAACTTTTGGGGAAAATTCTTAACTTTTGAAATCAGTTCTTTATCATTTCTCCTCTTTGCTTTAGCAATCTTAAGGGCAAGTTTAAGAGTTTGTACTAATACACATTTTAGTCTTTGCTTTCAATTCTATCTTTTTAATGGTCTTTTGTCTTTTCTCGTGTGTCATTTTCTTGATGTAATTACATAACATCGGGTCTTCAGCCATTGTTGTTCAATTTGTCGAATTTACTCTTGAGATAGTTTCTAAACTCATGTGGGATATACTCAAGGTATTTCACTTTCATGGATTAATTTTAATTTCTTCAGCTTTACCTTGAAGGCACATATGAACAATTAATGGTGTATCCCACAGTCAGTCCCTAGCTAGGGCTGACTGACTATATTGAGGTTCTCCACCATAGTTGATTTGATTTTTGTATATCCCCCACCAGCAAGGCCTAAGTACATAGGCATCATTTATGTTGCTGAAAAATTATATTTGCAATGCATAAGTCGTTTGTCTCTCCAAATTATATCAGTATTATTTCTGATCTCAAGCGTTATTTCTGTAAAGAAAGCCATATTATCCAACTTGTGATCCTACCTCTTTCTTTCCAACATTTGCATCCAGTACCAGAAATATGTTTTGATCGAATGTTTGATCAATTTCAGACTGCAGGAGATGGTAAACTATTTCAGTTTATTCATCCCTGACATTACTGGCTAGTGCCTAAATATAAACAATAGTCATATTGACTCCTCTTCCTTGTATGCATGTAACTATTTTTCTATCTCTGACTGCACTGTACTTGAGGATTGGTCTTAAAATGTGCTTGCGGAAGAGGACCGTGATGTTGTTATTCCTCTTCAATTTGTTATGCCTCATCAGATTAGACCATGTAATTGTCTACTTCGCAATAGCCAACACCAATTCATTTCAGTTCACTGATTCCTCGATTATCTATCTTCATGTACTCTAAAGTACAAAAAGTTTAATTTTGATGATTTCCAGTTTTCCTATATCTATACTGCATATATTGTACATTTTGATCTCACTAACTTTGCCATATCTGTGCCATTAAGATGAACTTTTGGAGTAGACAGCTCTTTCCCTCCCATATTTTGAGTATCTTCTCACCCAAGTGGCTTATTTTTTCACTATATCAGGTAATATATTGCTCCAATTCATAAAGTCAATTTTATTTTTAGTTATAGATTGCCACAGGCCATTTCCTATAGTCTGTCCTACTTTTGAAGTTTCACTGACCTGTCTACTATGAGTGACCCTGCTGTTATATAAAACATTAGTGGCATAGTTTACAGTAATATAGCAACTCTTAAGCTACCATAGTATGACAGACAGACAGACAGGCAAGTGGTGGAATACACAGTTACATCTTGTTTTTATTAGAGCTTACACTGAATTAGAAACTTCTAGATCCCCAGGTTTGTTCTCTTTAATACTTGGATTTAATTCTTCCAACTGCAGCATAGATTTACTAATTATAAATAACATTGCTATTTGTCTCCTAGGATTACAACTACAGCTGCCTGCATGATGGACCTAAGGCGGTACCCCTTGGATGAACAAAACTGCACCCTGGAAATTGAAAGCTGTAAGTTAAGTCATTTGAAGCGTCTGGCTAATATATGATCAATGTCATCCTACTCTGGTTTATGTTCAGATCATAGGTCCTACAACTGTTCTGTTAGCACATGAATCTGGTGGCTAGACGTGCACAAAGTATCTTTCTTGAATGATGTTGTCAGCCTTGAAGTCCATTTCTTTATCTGTGGGAAAGATCTTTTAGTGGGGAAATCTTCTATTAGTAAAAGGAAGGTAATAAGAACCTGGAAGGAAACTCAGGGTCTACTCCAGGCATTTACTTTTATGTAATTTGTACACTTATCTGCGACAGACTTATCCAGAGAGATGGAGGTGGCAGGAAGTCACAAGATGTCTGGTTGCCTTTGCATCCAGTAAACTTTATTTCTATGTAATTATAAAGTAGGCCTTCTACATTAGTTAAGCCATTTCTAAATTGTAAATTGGTGTAATGTGTTTTGTGTTGTTTATTCATTTCACGGGAACATTTTTATTGTATCTAATAGTTTATTAAGATACATTGTGTAAGGCCAGGTGGTAAACAATGTGTGCATGCGAATCTTCTTTGTTTTCCAGTTTGCTGTGCTGAAGTGTTTAACAGTATTGCTGCTTTTCTAGGTCTGGCTTATGGTATGATCATAATACAGTCACCTGCCTTGTTTGGAAGGCTAAAATGGTCATTAGAGGTCACACAGGGAGACAGTTTGAAGTGGAATTGAATTGTTGTAACTCTTTGTCCATATCTTGGAATATTTTTTATACTTCAACACACCAAACAACTGGCAGCTGATGATCTTCTATCCAGCATTCTGATAGTGAGGAACTTGACCGGCTGCCATGAAGACACACTCGGCCTATGTGTAGAACTCTATCTAGCGGTGGCAAGTGGATCTGTGCCACTTATTTGAGCAGAAATACAGCATTTATGACACTTTGGTGTATTGTTTGCAATTTTCACGTATAGTACTTAGAGAAAATTAAAGTTATATGCATTTGTTAGAGAAGTAGTGCTAAATATCATTATGGAATTATTTAACGTACCTTATAGAACTATGGAGTCATATTGGACAATAGGGTTTTGATTATTATTTTCATATAAATATATTTGGAATAATTTTTCATTCTCTTAGCTATGGCACAGATATTTTGATTTTGTTTTGTTTTTAATGCCATTGCTTTGAAGGAGGAAGAGAGTTCTGATAAAAAGTGCTTTTCAAACTTGATGTTCCACAATATAATTTAAGACTGCTAGAAAAATTCAAAGATGTAGCTACTTTTATAACTATATGAATTTCAAATCCCATTTTCATTAGGAACACATTTCATTATACTTTTTTAGCAAGTTATATGTTCCATTTATAAATGAAAATTGATTGCTTGGTATATTATTGATATCTAATAAACAGCAACTTAAGCAACTAATAATAATTATTACTGTATTAACACTAATTTTTATTATTATAAAAATAAAGTCCCCTATATCTGAAGATTCATC